GGGGGTGAATCTGGCCTGTTACAGCCGGCCAGATTAACCTGGGGTTACTCTAGCCTAGGCCAGAATAACCCCTCCGGGGTTATTCTAGGCTAGGCCAGAGTAACCCCGGGGTTACTCTGGCCGGGGGGGTTAATCCGGCCTGTTACACCGGTTCTCCCAGATTAGAGTCCGCGCACTTTAAATCCACCCAGATTAGAGTCCGCCGGCTCCTTTAAGTGCAGGGAACTGCCATTTCTGGAAATCTGGCGCGCGGGCGGGTGGGCCCCCCCGCGGACGTTCCCAATGTGACGTTATCACGTTGGGAATGCCCTGCCCCCTCCAGGAACGCTCCCAAAGTCCCCCGCTGGGGGTGGAAGATGGACTTGGCATCCCTAATATTCTCAGTGGTCACATAAGGAGATGATTCTCTCCTAGAGGTCAAGGACCTACATACCTTCGGGACCGCCTCTCCCAGTATGCCTCTGGAAAAGCGTTACGCTCAAGGAATAAGAACTTCCTGGTGGTCCCTGGCCCAAGAGAAGTCCTGGCCCCCGCCTGTTGGAACTGTCTGCCGGGCATCTGGTTGAGGACAGCGACGGGGCACTCTCTGGCACTCTCATACACTTCCCCCATCCCTCGTAATCCCCCCCCCGAAACCTGGGGAGCTGAATTTTTCCCTGCCATCCTGTATATGTATTTGTACATTGCTTTTACTTTTTGATATTTATTGGTTGTTTTAATTTAGATTTTAATCTGAGAAACTGTATATTACATGTTGTAAGCTGCCCTGAGCCCGACTTGTAGGGAAGGGCGGCCTAGCAAATCCAATTTAATAAATAACTAACTCAACAAAACATAACAGGAGATTTGGCGCTATTCTGTTTCCATGCATAAAGTGCAACTCACATGACTCATTCTTGCATATTTTTCAGGAGGAGGAAGAGGAAGAAGATTGGATTTATACCTCGCCCTTCACTTGGAGTCTCAGAGGGGCTTACGATCTCCTTCCCTTCCTCTCTCCACAACAGACACCCTGTGAGATAGGTGGGGCTGAGAGAGCTCTGAGAGAACTGTTCCTGAGAGAACAGCTCTGAGAGAACGGTGGCTTGCCCAAGGTCACCCAGCAGCTGCATATGGAGGAGCAGGGAAACAAACCTGATTCTCCCAGATTAGAGTCTGCGCTCCTAACCACTACACCAAACTAGTGGTAAAATGAAAGTGGTAAAATGAAAGCGATGTGGTAAAATGGTAAAATGAAAGTGGTAAAATGAAAGCTCCTAACCACTACACCAAACTAGTGGTAAAATGAAAGCGATGAAAGTCACAAGGACACCTAGAAGTCAATCATAGTCTAACCCATCTCTCAGAATTGGGATGCGGATAATTTGGAGGGGGGGGGACAAGACATGCCACCCCAAATTCCTTGCCAGGAAGTGTGGGAAGAATCAAATAAATATGAAACCCCTGGTCTATATGATCTTCTTGGGTTAGGGACATGCCTTTCTCCCTGCTTTGTTACCAATGGCACTAAATAAACATACCATATAAAACAAGACAGTGTTGTTTCCTCCAAAGGCTACAAGAACCAAGAATGTGCAGCAAAGAGGTTCTCTTGCAAACTATGTTGTCGTCTCTGATGATTTCACTCACCGGACTCCGTCATTGAGGTTGTACAGCTCATGCTCCGGAAGGCCTTTTCTCTGGAAAACAGCTATTACTCCATTGTGGATACTGTGAGAAACAGGGTGGGAAATGAATGTTAATATGCAACCTGGCAGGAAGCTTTTACAACTTGCATTCTCAGGTGAGGGTGGAACTATGCTGGTGTTTGCCTGAGAGAGATGTTGCTCAGGGCAGCATACATTAGTCTCCCCTTCCCCATTTTACCCTCACAACAGTGGGAGGGAGGTTAGGCCAAGAGAGAGTGTGACTGGCCAAGCTCATCCAGTTAACTTCATGGCAGAGTGGGGATTTGAACTCACATCTTCCAGATCCCAGCCCAGTACTTTAATCACTATAACCAAGCTGCCTCTTTGAATACTTTGAATAACAATTTGTTTTCCTTAACCATGATTAAGTGTTGCTTCTGAATATCTATACCATGCGTAACACATGGCTTTAAACCAGGGTGAAGAGCATAACTTGAAGTGAGCCTGCATTACCCACGGCTAAGTGTTCATCTGTACCAAGCAAGCCACGGTTATGGATGTTTTCATGCCTTTCGCTGCAAGATAACAAACAGGTCCTGCCGGTGTCTCCTTAAACACACTTTCTGGGGGCAGCCTTTAGGTCACCAAACTCAACCATGAGCCATTTGGGACCTTAAGAAGGATTAAAGCAGCGAGCAATGGTTAAGACTGTATCTGCACAGGGCCTCTCTCTCTCTCAGCCTAATCTACTTCACAGGATTGTTACTGAGAATAAAATGGCACAGTGTTATGTGTATTGTCCTGACAAAAAGAGGGGATACACATATAATACATTTATAAAAGTAATAGTGGAATAGTTAACTGCCTGGCTGCCAGGAGACATAGGCTTGCCAAGTCCCCCCGGGGGGCGGGGAAACCCCCGGCCCAGAGGCCCGTTTCCCGCTGCCGCCGGATTGGGCCCCAGGGGGAACTCCACCCCAACGTGCACGTCACCAGGAAGTGACGCGGCCACGCCGGGCACGCTGGGGGCGGGGCCACAGTCATCCGAGGGAAAACTCTATGGTTTTCCCTCAGACTGTCGTGGCC